GGGAGAAACACAAGGGTGGTAATCAAGGAAATGTGAGACAGCTGGGATGAGAAACACAGGGGAACTCTGAAAACACTAATAAAATAAACACAGATCATGACACATCCCAGCATGAGATGGAGGTGCACAGGGTTCAGAAGTGGCGTTTTGCAAGTGAAAAAATCAACATGCATTATGGGAGATGTAGTTTATGGTCAGTGCTGGTTTTAAAAGACATTATTACATTTTTGAAACTCTGGCGAACCACACAAGGTTTATAAAAACACTTGTGAAGTTTTTAAACAGTTCACACTTTTTACACAAGTTCCTGCCACACATCCTTTATCTCATGTTGTGGAGAAACAAACTCCTGCCTGKTGACTAACACGCAGACATGAGTGTGACAGATCCCTGCAGCAGACCATGGCAGAGTTATTGGCTTTTCTTTGTCCTCTCAGGTGGTGATGACGGCCCGACACTCTCATGGTTCCCCCTTCGCCCTCATCGAGTCCTGGACTTGTCACCTGCTGTTCGGCTCTCCTCTCGGCTGCGGCGAGGAAGACAACCATCACGCTCCCGTGGCGGCAGCACCGTCTTCTCCTCTCAAAAGCAAAGAGGAGCTGAGCGAAGGCGCCCGCAAGAGGAAGGCCAAGAAAGCGGAGTAAAACGTCGTGCTGCGTCTGACGTCCCATTCCCCCGCCTTTTTTTTGTGTGTGTTTGTTTTTTTAAAGAAAAGGAGCAGTTCTTTCCGCCTCTGTTGGAGCAACACGGTGCTTTCTGTTTTCCTTAGGTTGAGGACTTTGGAAATACCAAGGAAAATGTTTCACACTTTAACCCGACCTGGACACTTATTTATTAATGAACACCTGTGTGCTCGTCGCTCCGTTTCACAGGATGTTTCCAAATAAAGAGAGAAAATTGATTCAACTTCTTAATCAGATAAGTTGAGTGAAGCATTACGTGGAAGAACAGTGAGATGAAAACGACTTTGTTTATCTTTAAATAAAATCAGAAAAACATTGTGTTCTTGTTGTGCTTTTTTATTCTAAATATCYCTCAGTGGGATTTTAACACTTTGCCTTGATTTTTTGTTCAGTTTCTTTAAAATACTGAAAAATGTGGCTTTTTAAAAAACATCTATTTTTTATTGTCAGCATTTTTTTAAAAGAAAGAATGTACAACATTTATTCTTTTATTTTTTCAAATAATATGTTCAAATTTACCCACTGTGGTTTCAATAAAGTTTCATCTCATCTCATCTCATCTCATCTCATCTCATCTCATCTCATCTCATTGATGTTATATTGTTTACATCATAAAACATTTTAAAATTTCCAACATGATTCTTAATCAATAAAGAGTTCAACATTTTTTTGGATTAGAAATGACCTGTCAGGACAACGTGTGGATCCAGAGTCCAGTTTGTGTTTATTTTTTCTGCAGAGGTCCCCACTGAGACCCCTCTGCTTCTTCAGAAGATCAGAACATTTTTCAAAAGTGATGAGTGTTTGTCAGACCGACACACAGCAAACCCCCCAAAACCTTCAGCATCAAGTATGTCAACATCTGCTGATCCCATTACTGACTCTCTCTCTCTCTCTCTCTCTCTCTCTCTCTCTCTCTCTCTCTCTCTCTCTCTCTCTCTCTCTC